GGAAAGTGGTATAAGACCTTTACATACATAACAACTCATACAACTCTACTAAACTGTGATAACATTCATATCCATTACGATTATAATCGTTAATTGGATTGCAATCTAAATATAACATTATTATTATTATATTCAATAAATAAAGTTAATGTAATTAATGCTGTATTTTACACAATACCTGTTTGTATATAACACATGAAATAACATAACACACATACCTTTCGTAATAATTATATTGCAATCATATTTCATTCAAATGATAATATGAAATAAAAGCACAATTAGTTTTAATTCAATTCATTAATTTGTATCAATTGTTATACTGATTGACATTTATTTATATAAATTGCATTGCATTTCACAATTAATAAATAATTTGTTTTCACTAATGATGTAAATTTTGAAATCAAGTCATGTGTATAATAAAAATTTATAATTAAATTCATTACTATATTTATAAACATTGTCTTTATTGGGATAATATAACTCAATTAGCAAATAAAATACGATTTAATTCTTTAAACAGTTTTATAATTATTTCATTTATTGATTGATTAGAAAGAATATAAAGAAAATGAATCAAAAGTCACTTTTTCATTGAAAACAATTAATCGATAAATAGTTTTCAATAATTCAATTTAATAATGAGATTCTTTGGGCTCTTGTTTTCAAATTCATCGATATTTTGAATGCCATCAAAAGGGCTGAAGTCATATATAAGTCTCATAACAATTGCTGGATATTTAGCGCAATATTCACCGCAAACTTTGATCGCCGTCTCGACGCCATAGCACAAGTCGTCGACGTGAAGAGTACGCAAACCGGCGCCAAATTGAGGCGTGAGAGACCAGATCCTGATCACCGTTTCAGACAAACGCAAGTGTTTCAAACATTTCAGTCGCGCCAAAGTTGTCACACAATTGCGGTCGCATTGCGTACAATAGCTATTGTCCTCACTATAACCATCATCATTGTCGTGATTGTAAACATCAACACAATCGCAATACAGATACACTTGTTTGAAGTGTAGTCTCTTTACGTTTGGGAACAAATCGATGAATTGCGCAAACCTTTCACTTCTAACGCCACAGTTGTATAAATCCAGATTTACTGTCGGGAAACAGGTCTGGCCTGCGATGGGATTCACGATTGAACCAATACTTAGCGATAGGGTTTTGAGATGTGTCTGCGATTTAAGTACTTTAAACACATCTTCAATATAAACCGAAAAGCATTGTATTTTCAAATCCTTTAGACCACAAGTTTTGCTTATTGTCTGTAAGTCTTGAGCACTATATACAAAGTTTGTGTGCAATAAAGTCAACGGCGCGGCTCCGGTAGTGATGTATTGAGTGAGACATTCAGCGTTTGATGGGTTTGTGATGTCGTTTGTCTGAAGCGCTAAATGTCGCAAACTTTTGGGCACCAATTGAAGAGTATTCTTGAAACCAATTCCTTGTCTGCATTGAAGTGACTCTAGTAGTGGACACCCGGACACCAAAGCCGCGGTCATATCGTTCGCCCGTTTCTGGTTTCGATCGTAAGAGAGACACAAACTTTTGATACGATCGCCAAATATGTGTCCAATTGTATACAGTTTTAGTTCATTGATTTCGACAAACACTTGGTTAAGGATTAAGCACTCAATTCGGGAACAGTTTTGACCGATAATAACGAGTTTTTTGTTGGTTATCGATTGATAGATGACAAGAGTGGAGACATTTTCTGTTTGTTTTGTCAATGAATCTAATTCTTGTGGACTTATTCCCGATTTTAGTGATAGTTTGAGTGGAAAATCGCTAACATTTCTATTGAATCGACTGATGGGTCGGGGAATCACAACTGGACACTGATATGTAGTTTGAATGCAGATATCATCAAATCTAATGGTATTGACATTTTTGAGGACCTGTTGTCCGCAATACAGAAACTGATGGCTTAATGTCTGCAGAGAAACCATTTGTTTCACATCAAGATTGCCTAAAATCTTTGCCAATATATCGTTACACAAAACATTAGTTCTTCGTATTCTTCCAGTGCTAACAATGAATTCCTTTTGATTCATTTGTAAGGACTCGCTGTCTCTCAGCTCTTCGGCCGCCATTATTGATATAATTTTTGTCAACTAATGTTTGATTTAAATAGATTTTAACGATTATTTGTATTAAACGTTTAAATTTCTCGCCCTTTAAACAAAAATTTAAATATTTAAAATAATTAATGTAAATAAATATAAATTAAATAAACAATATGTGTTACACACAAAGCGCATGTGTGAAAAGCGCTGAAACACAGTGCTGACACATGCGCTTTGTGTGTAACAATGTACGTGTTCAAAATCATATGGTTTGCCCGCCGACTAGTTTGTGAAGCATACTGTACTATGTATTCATACACTGAAACACATTTACTCTTACATTGCAATGCATTTCTCAATTATTACTCAATACATACCATCTTATAGTCATTTACTGCTAGTATTTAATATAATATGATTTTGTTTGATAAATGCCACTAAATCTTGCCATAAGTTATAACATACTATTCATATATATTATATATGATCTTATTTTTCATATTTGCCTCACTTTTTTAGGCTTATTCTAAGTTTTAGGCGATTTAATGAATTGTGAATAAATAGGGAATTGTTATGTTTGGACAAGAATTGCAATTCATTTATCAATGCATTACTATTAGAGAAACTCATCTTTAAATTAGAGTCAAATACAGTCTCTCATTGCGAATGAGATCTCAATTACCGAAAGACATTGTGTCGAAAGAATCGGTGACAACACATGACATCTATTATGTAACCAATAATTGCATGCATTTATAAGAATGTTATTAAATTAGAGAAACAATGAATGAAGCGATCCTTTCTGTCATCTCTTCGCCACATATTTATGAAAATATGGGCCAAAACTTAACGCAGAATTGATTCCCATTCTATAGAAAAGCAATTCTCGTTTTCTTCTCAAATCATTTAACAAGAATTTTTTGGGGACTCAAGAATGCAATCAAAGATCTGCAAAATAGACCGCATTTTTCTCAATAAATAATAAGTTTTTTTTTCTGGAAATGTTTTTCCGGAATTTCTATCCAATATTTGAATACAATATTCTCGTCAATCGCTGTTTCAATGCAAAGTGAATACAAAGAATTATGAATTACCAGTTATTATAAGTATGACTATTAGCTAATTATTTGTCACATCTCTGTTGTGATACTTTTACTTTCATTTGCTATCATTTCTCTGTTCTAAACGTAAGCAAAAGGACATCTAATTTAATAAATGTATTTATTTTCAAATAGTAATCAAATAAATAGATTTATGTTTATTTATGTTATGAAGTGCTCAAACGGCGACTGATCTTATGTTATACACATAACTGTATGCAAAATACAGTATCTATTGGATAATTGGTGTACACATTATAGGATACACAATTCAGTATTAGGTTATTACTAATAACATTAGTTATGATAAAGTGATGCTAAACTGACTTTTATAACTAATATAACTTATATTTATTGAATTTGGTATAATTGGAAATTAATTTTAATGAATCCAAATCCGTTTGTCTAATGCTATTACACTGTATTGTATTCGTAATCTAATCTATCATTTAATTTCAATTCTTGGAGGGAATTAATGGCCACAGAATTGATGTCTCGATTTACTAGAACTGATGCATAATTAATGAATATATGTATGGATTTAAGTAATGTTTTTAATCTGTCTCTTCTCCGCATATTTATGAGCCGTTTTTCGTTGAATTATTCAAAAATGCGTTATTTTATGGCATTTAAATGGAAAGTAAATGTATTTGTTATATAAAAGTTGTTAAATTGTATAATTAATTGCTTTCATATTCTTAATATTTTATCACAAATACATTAATGAATTAAACAAAATTTTTTGCTTTTTTATTACCGACAAATCATTTTTATGAAAATTGATTAATATTTTAAAATTTTAATTACTTTACATGTGCTTACAATTTTCAAGTCATTATAAGACTATTACAGCACTGTTTACACTAAAAAACAATAAACTTTAAAAGTTTTATTTTATTTTTAGTTTTATTTACTATAAAAACTCATAACATTTTCAAATCGAGATTTTTATTTCCTAAATGTTGTGAATAGAAGTGAAAGCACTTCTTCTGCGTCCAAAAGGCAGAGATGAGAGAATCACTTGTTTTTATTTCAAATACAATTTCTTTAACACATCTATTAATAACGGGTTGTCTTTAAAAATTAGTTGAGTTGTGTTTTCATCACGTTTTCATTACTTTAAGATTATATACATTATTAAGACTAAATAAAAGTAATCCGCAAAATGAGATGCCATTCATTCAAAATAAGTCATAAATTACTGGACTCTTGACTTATGCGACGAGTTTTGATGTCTTCTGCGAAAACTCGCGTTTTTCTTCAGCGGTAATGATAGCAACCAATGATCTCATTATTATTACATAGAAATCAAAATCCAACTAAAAATGCAAATAATACTTTTTATACATTATATGTTGAATTAAAAATGGTTTCATTTTAACAAAACAAATGCAATGAATTTGAAGCGCAGAATACATTGAATGGAGAGTCAAAATGAATGCTTTTATATATAATGTATATATTTGTAGACAATTTGATTCCGGAGCCCAATGTATATGAGATAATGAACGAAATGTCCTTTTTGTTAAGATGTGAATGAAATCACGATTCATTTGGCACATCATTGACATTAACCTCCACCGCTCTGGAGGTGAGCGCCTCTTTGTTGCCGGCGCTCGAGTTCTCATATCCATCGACGAGTGTTTGTAAAATGAATTTAATGATTATCTTATATATGTTTTCCATATTCTCTGTGTATCGCTCTTCTAATGTCTCCTTAACTGCTTCGAGGAATGGACTCTCGATTTTCTGAAATCAATATCAAAAAATGTTTTTATTATTTTTGTTTAAGAGTTCTTTCAATCGTGTTCTTTGAATACATTTCTAGTTTTATAGTTTGCATAGAAATAAATATTATAAAAGAAAACTTTTATTTGTATAAAACTACATAATATTATTCTCTAACACTTAAAGCCCTAATATTGTGTGTAAATATAGGTTTGAATGAAAACAAACATTTAATTTGTGTAAATTTGTTTAGTAATAAAATAATGGCGAATAGGAATGGAAAGGTTACCCAAAAAAACTCTTTCTGAAATCCGGGCACTTTATGGTGTAGTTTTCCGATTGAGTGCAAGTATTCAATGAAATAGTCGACGTTATCGAGTGAATTGATGGCCTCGTCTAGAGATGTCATAACAAGGGACGCGTGTTCTGCCAATTCCATGCTTTCCATCTGAGACTCCTTTGTCTTCAATGTCTGAAATTTCTCGAATAGATTCAGTAAATCGCGATTCTCTTCGAATAATCTGCACAAATGGACACCAATTATGCCATTAATTCATTATATCTCATATATATTACACAGTATTATATACTCATTGAGGAGATTAGGGTTTGTGGTTATACTGTACTCTATATTCTCTATATTATGCTTTCACGGAACACAGATTCTACACTTTATTAACACATTTACACTGCATTCCCATCTAATCCTTCGTCTAATATAAGACACGTTAGTAATGGTTTCATTGAAATCATTATTTCCTCTTTTCATTTCAAATAAATACATTATATTTTCAATGTATCTTCAAATACATCTAAATTGACTTTATTTGTAGAAAACATTTTGATCTTAAATTACAATTGACTTCAAGTCATATATGAAAATCTAATTTACAACTCACTCACTAATAATCAATTTCTAACAAATTGAACAAAAAACTCATTTAATAAAAGTTAAAGTGATTTTCATATATAATTCATAATTGCATTTAATGGCAATTCATTGAATTATTTACATATTCAATACACTGTCTAATGAATGCCAGCTCTGGTATCCCTGAGCACTGGCAACGTTGCGTTTATCAATGAAAATGACTTTAATGTTGTAATGAATAACAAATTTCTTTCATTGAAAACAAAAATAAATATTTTATATTAAGAATCCGTAAGTATTATATAATTTGGCTGCAAAATAAAATGAAGGCATTTTCATTACATACATGTGTATAATATTATTATATTTTATTTTAAACACTAATTCCAAGAATTCTGTGAAAGAAGTTTTATTTTAATCGCATTCACGACAATATTTCACAAATTATACTCAAGTTTTGTTTATTTATTTTAATGCCCAAAATATATGCTAAATTATCATTACATTGTATATAATCACATTATTCTTTACATTCTTATACAATATTAATATTTCGTTTAAATAATAAGTGAGTGAATCAAGTGTTTAATATAATATACTTAACATAAATATTATTTTCTAAAGAATTGTATTCTTTAAAAATGTAAATTATTATTCAGATTATGGTTAAGG